AGATAGATCACCAGCGTCTCGCGGGTTTCCCCGCAGAGGATCATCATCGATTAATTCCATGTCTGTCGGGTTTCCAATCACCCGAGGATAGAGCATCGCCTGAATTTCTTCATCTGTTGCAGGATGGTAGATTCTGAATCCGCGGGCGCCCCCGACACACCCAAATCTCCTTCAGCGGGCACGCGGAAGTTCTCGACAAACTCAATATGCCGGTTGCCCCGCGATGGGTATACCCAGCCATTCTGCCAAATCGATGTCGTCGTGGCCAGCGAACACCTCCTCGAACAGCTCGTCGGCGCAATTCTCGAGGGCCATACTGGCGCTTAGATATCTGGCAGCCATGAAATTAACAATTGCGGCTGAGCTATCGGCGGGGTCGGCTAAAAGTGACTCCCAATCAACATTCTGCATGTCAAAGTCTGTTTGACCCAGACGCATTGACGGACCCCTGCCTCTTCCATCACCTCGGGGGCATTCGCGTCGGAAATGTTGTGCACTGTGGCATGTGTCGCACTCCATAGTTTTACCGTTGGCATCTTTTGGGTTCCCCCGCCGTCCCTTACCTTCGCCGGACGCACGCCTGCGGCTTCTGCCAGCACCACAAAGAGACGCTAAGAATGCTGATATGCATGCAGTCGCCGACGCCTACATTTGCCTTTACTTCGACCTTTGCCTTTTCCTGGTCCTCTAAGCGATCGTCGCACAATACGCCTTACTTGTCGGACTGGTTTCTGCATGAATCTCCGCCAGCGACGCTTGCGTTTTTGGTCGCCTAAAAATAACAATTGACCATTGGACTTGTCGCTCTTCAGTAAAGTATGTAGGCATATCAGAAAAATACAGGGCGGTAGCTTCGTCATCTGAAGACGCATCCGCATCAGTACCGGAGTCGAAGTCGGACACGGCGGATTGCCCCGCTGAGCCCATTAGGGTCATGGCTTGCATGGGGGAGACCGCGTCGGGCGGTCCCCTAGGTCTGGCCCAGGAGCCCCGCGACCCCGAGGCCGTTCCACCATTCTGAGCCAGCAGCGTAGTGGTCTCAGTTGGTTGTGGATCATAATTCCAGACGTTGTTGGCAGGTTGCCCTGCGTTGGCCTCCACGTGGAAAGTCTCGGTTCGGTGACCGCGACTAAAGATGCCACCAATATTGCCGGGGGCTCTCTCATTAATGTGAGCATATGACCTCATACGTTGAAGTAGAGCATCAACTTGTTGGTCTATCGGCATATGGTGGTTCAGAGGCTGCAGGAGTTGTTGCGCACGCGATGTGCCCACTCCAAGGGCTCTGAATATAATCACTGCTAGGATTTGGAAGTTGGGGATGTTGAAGCTGGCTGCTTCACCTTCGTAGCGGGCTATCTCAAACCGTATTAACGTCTGGTCGATACGTTCACCTGCACGGACTCGAAAGTCAATGAGAGCCGTACCAGAGTTGAGTTGGCGCTTCTCTTCAAAGTTCTCGACCTTCGTGCTTAAGAGGAACATGATGTAGGTGACGCCGTCGGTGTGGCGGCCACCTATGTCGACGTCAAAAATTAAAACTGCTGGAGGAACTCTCATGGCTATGGTCCGTGCGAGACCTCCCAAACCTCGCTGCAGAGCTGCAACCTGCTGGGAGGGCGTCATATTGCCTGTGGTCACATTGATCCAAGCACGCACTTCGCGGACGAATTCGCGAAAAGGTACTTGACCGGCTGGGTCCCAATGAGGGCCGGTCGTTCTCGTGTCGTCTCCGCCACGCATATGTCCTACCGCACACCCAATAGCGACCCATGTGAGCACAAAGATAGTAACACCAATCCAATGGCCTCGTAGGTCGTAGTCGGATGTAGTCGGTTGGGACTTCTGTTGTTTAGTCGTAAGTCTGCGCGGGGTCGGAGGCGGCAATATTTCGTATCGCAAGTTTCCATGCATTATATCTTCGAATAAATTTCCAAGTAGAATAGGTGGGTGGACTTCAGGAAGGTACTAGCGCAGGGAGGTCAGATGTAGGTAAGAGACCTCCGCTTGAACAGAGGTATCGCTGCAAGTGTCCTTGCGGTACTGCGTAGTTATGTACATTCCTCCGCGCAAACCCACTGCGCCCTGATGTTCCACCATGTCCGTAGTTCACCAGATAGTGCCGTGGATGGTGAGGAGTAGAGCAAGAGCTGACCACCATAGGCCAGCTCCGCTACCAAGTTTGAAGGGTGCTGGGAGGCCCAGCCAGCAGCTTCGCCTTAGGCGAAGCCATGCTCCAGCTCTGTTGTACCGTAGTAACGGTAGTCCCAATAGGAGAGGATGTGCCATCTCAAGCAGCAGGAAGATCCTTTTGGTCTCGATAGCGATTGTGTGCCTCGCAGTGAGGCACAGTCATATTTGGGCGGCCGGCCGCTTGAGCCGACGCGGCCGCGGGCGCACGCTCGCTTCCACTCCTTACGTCCCTCAGCTCGCTTTAGTGGGGGAAGGGTCCCGGGGGGGTCCCGGGTCAGATACGCATCCCCCCCCTGGGGGTCCCAGGGCCGTGCCCCAAGAGGCCCCCGAGACGATCCAAGAGGGCCCCCAATCGTTGAACGATCGATCAAAGCCTTCGCGCCCTCCAGACTGCCCCAAAAGACGCTCCAACAAGCCTCCAAGAGCGCTCCCGAAAGGGCCCCAAGAAGCAAAATGTATTGATTGTCATTAGGTTTCGAAAGAAGTTGGCGTTCTCGCCGTTTCCGCTTCCCGCCGCTCCAAGACGGCCGAAGAGGCCCTCAAGATCGCCCCAAGAAGGCCCAAGAGGCTTCCAAGAGAGATCAAAAACAGCCCAAGAGGACCCCAAGACAGCCCAAAACGCCTTCAAGACGGCCCAAGAGGCCCCCAAGACGGCTCCAAGAGCGTGCCCAGACGGGGGATCCGAACGGACAGTTCGAACCCTCAGCCCCGAGAAGCTCCCAGGAGGCCCCAAGAGGTTCCCAAGAGGCCCCAAGAGGCCCACAAGAGACACCAGGGAAGCCCGAAGAGGCCCCCAAGAGGTTTCAAAGAGGCCCCCAAGAGGCTCCCAAGAGACCCCGAAACTCCCCCCAGACCCCAAGAAGCATCCCTGGGGACTCTGGTCCACGTCAGCATCGTCGTCGCCGCCGCCGCCGCCACCGTCGTCCCCCTTCAGAGTCGGCGGCACCGGCCGCAAAGCCCTGGCAATCGTCCCGACGCCCTCAACCCCGTTGTATTCACTCCTTGCTCCATCCCCTTCCCTCCTCTTCACCTCGTTTCCCCCTCCACTCCGTCCTCTGGGCCCCGCTCCTCCCTCCTCAGCACCCCCAGCCACGGAAAGGTAAGAAGAAAGAGAAGAAAAGGAAAAGAGGAGGGAGGGGAGGAGGAGGAGGAGGAGGAGGAGGAGCAAAGGAGGACGAGCGGAAAAGGAGGAGGAGGAGGAGGAGTGAGGAGTGAGAAGGGGGAGGAAGATGGGGAGGGGGAGGGGGAGGGGGACGAGCAAGGTGCGATCGCGTCATCTCTAACGTCCTACCCCTCCCTCCCATCCCTTACCATGGCGCAGATCTCCTCTCTATTCGCACAGTCAAATGTCGTAGCATGGCATAGCATTACATGGCACAGCATGGTGTTGAAGATCAATGCGTAGCATGACATAGTATGGCGCGGCGACGCCCCAGTTGGGGGGGGCTGCGGGCCACCAAAAAAAAACAAATCGACACCGGTAGATGTTGGCGCCGATTTGAAGAACAGAAAACCATGCCGTGGCATGGTACTGGAAATAATGACGCCAGCGCTGCAGAAGGAGCACAATTCGGAACGAGCGGAAGCGCGGAAATGAGGCCAACGCTGCAGCGCGAGCACGATTCGGAACGAGCGGAAGCGCGGCAATGAGGCCAACGCTGCAGCGGGAGCACGATTCGGAACGAGCTGAAGCCCAAAAATGAGGGCAGCGCCTCAGCGGGAGCTTCGTTTTGAAAAAGAAAACAAAAAACCAAAAAAACGAAAACCCAGTTCCCAGGAATTCTGTGCTAAAAACAATACGCGGAGGGAGAGCGAACATTTTCCAGACGTCATCAGGGGAGAGAGGAGAGCCGTATTCATAATGAATAATTGTGGAGGGAAGAGGAGGAGGAGGAGGAGGACCAGTGTAAACCCAAGAGGCATCAACGATGTTGGAATAGGCTCCCTCTTCATAGGCCCCTACAACGGTTCATTTTTACTGAGGGAACTGCATCGTTGGAGGACAACTGTTTGAAGACCCTGAAGCACGCATTCCAAAACATTGTTCCAGGCTAGGGATTCCAACGCCACGGGTCAACCTGACTGGTGCGTCTTGACAATCCTGAATCAAACCTGAACGCCATTCTTGGGACCTGAACACCGCGAATCAACATGACTTGTGCACCCTCATAAGCCTGAACCCTTCCAGAACATAGATTATGGTACATTGATGATGGGAATCCGTGAAACTCTTTTAACATTTGAAAATAATGTGCGCGGCGCTCGGGCGAGAGCCACAGATTGAAAACCACTCGCCCTCAATCCGGGAAACTCTTGCAAATGTTTCCAAATGTAACTCTCGCCTTAGCGCAGAGCACAATCGTCTTTGTGCGCGGCGCTCAAGCGAGGGCCACATTTTGAAAACCACTCGCCCTCAATCCGTGAAACTCTTGCAAATGTATAAAACCAATGTGCGCGGCGCTACGGCGCAAGCCACAATTTAAAAACCACCCGCCCTCCACCTGCGAAACTGTTGCCAATTTTTGAGCTTCAGAATCCTAATGGTGAGGAAGTCTCAGGCGAAACGCCCGGCCCGCCCCAAAAAAAGGCCTCGGGGTGCGACAGGGATAATCTTTTTCTAAGAAGAAGAAAAGGAACAGGAGGAGGAGGAGGACGACGACGACGACGAGGCTGAGGGGGAGGAGGAGAGGAGAGGGCGGGGGGGGCAGTGGCCGAGGAGAGGGACGGAAGGAGGGGGGAGAGGAGGCCACAGCGGGTTCTGAAGGACTGCTGGGCCACTGCGTTGCCGGGCGGCGGCGGCGGCCGACCCAGTACGCGAGCCATTCTTCCGGAGCGCCGCCGGCAGGGTCTTCGTGGAAGTCCTCGAGGACGCGGAAAGAAGCCCACATGGGGTACACGAGCCTGGCTGAAGGAGGCGGGGGGGGAAGGACAGGGGGGAGGACTTTCTCAACATCCACCACCAAGCCTCTCTGCACGCATCCCTCCGCCAAGCTACAGCCCCGAGACCAACAGCTGGAGAGGCTGAATGACAAAGAGGCCGTCCCGCACTAGGCGTCATCGCCCATTGGAGTAACGGCGACCGTTGTCACGCTTGTCCCCGGTGGGGGGTCCAACACACTGTGTTGCTGAGACACGCATCTGTCCGCCAGAAGTGTAGTAGTTACATCTGACACACGCTATCAGCAAGCGTAGAGGGAGGAGGAGGAGGAGGAAAAGGGAGAGGAGGAGGAAGAGGAGGAGGGTGGAGGACGGACGAGTATGGAAAAAACAATGAGGGGCAGGGGGAGGAAGGAGGAGGAGGAGCAGCAGGAGGTGAGGGGGAAGACAAGGAAGGGGAAGGAGGGAGGACGGGAAGGGAGGAGTAAGGAGGGCGGAGCAGGAGGAGGACGAGGAGAAGAAGGATGGATGAAACGTGGAGGAGTGACGGGGCAGGCAGGACGAGGGCGGAGGCAGAAAGGAGGAGCCCCAGGTGCCAGAAGCGAGAGGCGCCCACCTCGACCCTGGAGCCCCACGCGCGGGAATCGAGGGCGGCCCGGCCGCGCAGAGCGGAACGATCGCACACGCGTTTCTGCTGCCATTTCTCTTCCTCGTTCCTGCTCCTCCTTGCCTCCTGGCTCTTGCCTCCTGCCTCTTCCCTTACTATGTTCTGCCCCATCCCTCCTGCCTCCTGCCTCCTGCATCCTGCCGCCTCCCTGCTCCTCATCCAGGTTCCTCCTCCTGCATCCTGCTCCTGCTCCTGCTCCTGCTCCTGCTCCTGCTCCTGCTCCTCCTCCCTCCTCCTCCTCCTCCTCCTCCTCCTCCTCCTCCTCCTCCTCCTCCTCCTTCCTCCTCCTCTACTTACTACTCTACTACTACTACTCTCCTCTCCTTCTCCTCCTCTACTCCCTCCTCCTTGGATCCTCTCTCCTCTCCTCCTCCTCCTCCTCATCTCATCTCATCATCCATCATCATCATCATCATCATCATCATCATCATCATCATCATCATCATCATCATCATCATCATCATCATCATCATCATCATCATCATCATCATCATCATCATCATCATCATCATCATCATCATCATCATCATCATCATCATCATCATCATCATCATCATCATCATCATCATCATCATCAGCATCATCATCATCATCATCAGCCATCATCATCACATCATCATCATCATCATCTCATCATCATCGTCATCGTCATCGTCATCGTCATCGTCATCGTCATCGTCGTCATCATCATCATCGTCATCATCATCAGCATCATCATCATCAGCAGTAGCAGCAGAAGCAGCAGCAGCATCATCAGCATCATCCTCAGCAGCAGCATCATCATCACCAGAATCAGAATCAACATCATCATCATCAGCAGCATCATCATCATCAGCATCAGCATCAGCATCGTCATCATCATCATGAACAGCAGCAGCAGTATCATCATCATCATCACCATCATCATCATCGTCGTCATCATCATCAGCATCACCAGCATCAGCATCATCATCATCATCCTCATCATCATCATCAGCATCATCATCATCGTCATCATCATCAGCATCATCATCAGTAGCAGCAGAAGCAGCAGCAGCATCATCATCAGCATCATGCTGAGCAGCATCATCATCATCACCATAATCAGAATCAACATCATCATCAGCATCAGCAGCATCATCAGCATCAGCATCAGCATCAGCATCGTCATCATCATCATGAACAGCAGTAACAGTATCATCATCATCATCATCATCATCATCATCATCATCATCATCATCATCATCATCATCATCATCATAAGCATCACCAGCATCAGCATCATCATCATCAGCATCAGCATCATCATTGTCATCATAATCATCATCTGTATCAGCATCATCATCTTAATAATCATCAGCATCGAAATCATCATCGCAATCAGATTCATCATCATGAGCATCATCAGCATCGTCATCGTCATCATCATCATCACCACCATCATCATCGTCATGAGCATCATCATCATCATCATCATCGTCAGCATCATCATCATCATCGTCATGATCATCATCACCATAATCATCAGCATCATCAGCAGAAGCATAATCATCACCATCAGCATCGGCATCATCAGCATCAACAACAGCATCGTCATCGTCAGTATCAGCATTATCATCAGCATCATCATCAGTATCATCATCAGCACCAGCAGCATCACCATCAGCACCATCACCATCAGCAACAGCATCATCAATATCATCAGTATCACCAGCATCATAATCAACATCATCATCCTGATTATGATCATCTTCATCATCATCATCAGCATCATCGTCATCATAATCAGCATCATCATCAGCAGCATCATCAGCATGAGCATCAGCATCAGCATCGTAAACATTACCAGCCTCGTCGTCATGAGAATAAGCATCATCATCATCATCATCGTCAGCGGCATCATCGTCATCATCAGCAGCAACAGCTTCATAATCATGTTCAGCATCAGCATCATCATCACCACCACCACCATCATCATCAGCAGTATCAGCAGCAGCATTATCATCACTTGCATCATCATCAGCAGCATCAGCATCAGCATTGGCAGTATCATCATGATCATCATCACCATCATTCGCATCACCATCATCAGCAGCAGCAGCAGCATCAGTCGTCATCAGCATCAGCATCATCGTCATCCCCCAGTTGCGGTGAGCACAACAGACGGATATTCTCACACGCGCCTCTCAGACAGAGAAGAGCTCAGAGAAGCTGTCCGCTCCCGTCCGCTATCGTTTGTTTGTTTCTGGCAGCTCTGTTTGAGGCACACGTATGGATCCAGAAACCAACTGGACCCTCACGGAGATCGCGACGTCAGCACCCAAGAACACAATGGATGATTTAACGTGTTCGCATGAAGTCGTCAAGAAAACCCAGTGGACTTCAATTGTTATGGATGCCCGTCTTGGAAACAAAAAAAACTGGCGACTGGCCAACCGTATACGCGTTGTGAGTACCGCTTTCGGTGGAGCTCCCTTTGGGGCCACGAAACGTGTGAGGGACGTGCCGTAATGGGTGAGGGAGACGCATGCGGGCGGTGCCACTGGGGCCTTTGGTGGGGCTCTCTCTATGGGCCACGAAACGCTGTGCTGGGTGTGGCGGACGTATGCGGGCGGTGCCCCATCGCTGGAGTCCCCGATGAGGCCACGAAACGCTGTAATGGTTGGGGGAAGCGTATGCGGGCGGTGCCACTGGGGTCTTTCTGTGGAGCCCCCTTATGGTGTCACGAAACGCTGTACTGGGTGGCGGCCGATGCCGCTGTGCTGGGTGGTGGCTGACGCATGCGTGCGGTTCCACTAGGACATTCGGTGGAGCTCCGTATGTGGCCACGAAACGTTGTACTGGGTGGCTGACGCATGCGGGCGGCGCCACTGGGGCCTTCGGTGGAGCCCCCTTATGGGGCCCCTTATGGGGCCACGAAACGCTGTATTGGGTGGTGGCTGACACACGCGGGCGGTCCCGATGGAACATTCGGTTGGGCTCTCTCTATGGGCCAAGAAACGCTGTACTGGATGGTGGCTGACGCATGCGGGCGGTTCCACTCGAACCTTCGGTGGAGCTCCCTTATGGGGCCACGAAACGCTGTGCTGGGTGGTGGCTGACGCATGCGGGCGGTCCCAGTGGGGGCTTCGGTGGAGCCCCCAGATAGGGCCACGAAACGCTGTGCTGAGTGGTGGCTGACGCATGCGGGCGGTCCCACTGGGGGCTTCGGTGGAGCTCCCTTTGGGGCCACGAAACGCTGTACTGGGTGGGTGAAACGCAAGGAGGGGGGAGGAGGGGGAGGAGGAGGATGGAGGAAGGAAGGAGAAAGAACGCGGGGACCGTCTCTTCGAAACGATGGCACAACACCACAGGATGTTTGGGACAAAAAACGAATTCGCCCGAGATAGTCGTCCGAACTGAAGTCCGATGTACTGAAGGTTGTCATTATCCCCCAAAACGACATTTTCACTCGACGCATCTTCCCAGAGTTTATTTCGGAATGTGTTTTTAACTATTACCGCCTCCTGCGCCACACTCATAGCAAGATGTGGCAAGCCCACCTGCATTCGACTGCGATCCTGCTACTGCACGTCATTCACAACAGTCATCAAATGACCCTCATGTTGATGCGTCTCTCCGGTGCCCTCTGCTGTTCCAAATCATGCGTCCTCCTCCTCCTCCTCCTACTCTTCCTCCTCCTCGCCCTCCTCGTCCTCCTCCTCCTCCTCGTCCTCCTCGTCCTCCCCGTCCTCCTCCTCCTCCTCGTCCTCCCTCCTCCTCCTCCTCCTCCTCCTCCTCCTCCTCATCTCCTCATCATCATCATCATCATCATCATCATCATCATCATCATCATCATCATCATCATCATCATCATCATCATTATCATAAGCCTACTTCTCTTTCTTTTCCTTGTCATATGCATCCTTCTCCTCCTCCTCCTCCTTCTCCGCCTCCTCTTCCTCCTCCTCCTGCACACCTCCCTCTTAGTCCTCGTCCTCCAAGTAAAATTCCTTATCCACCTTGTATTCGTGGCAATTGCCGACGGAAGCACACACAGGGTACGTCACGAAGGGGAGAGTGCGTTCTCATCATGCTCCTCCTCCTCCTCCTGGTCCTCCTCTTCCTTCTCCTCCGCCTCCGACTCCTCCGCATTATCAGCATCATCATCATCAGCATCATCATCATCATCAGCAGCAGCAGCATCAGCATCAGCATCAGCATCAGCAGCAGCAGCATTATCACCATCAGAATCATCATCATCAGCAGCAGCATCATCGTACTCATCATCATCATCATCAGCATCCTCATCACCATCATCATTAGCGTTAGCATCAGCATCAGCATCAGCATCAGCAACATATTCAGCATCAGCATCAGCATCAGCATCCGCATCAGCAGCATCAAAAGCATCATCGGCATCACCATCACCATCACCATCACCATCATCATCATCATCATCATCATCATCATCATCAGCATCATCATCAGAATCAGAAGCAACAGCCCCATCAGCATCAGCATCCGCATCAGCATAATCATCAGCATCATCATCATCAGCAGCATCATCATTAGCAGCATCAGCATCAGCAGCATCAGCAGAGTATAATCAGAAGCAGCATCAGCATCGTCGTCATCATCAACATCATCATCAGCAACATCAGCATTATCATCAGCATCCGCATCAGCATCAGCAGCATCATCAGCATCAGTAGCAGCAGCATCATCATCGTCATCAGCATAATCATCATCAGCATCACCATCATCGTCATCATCATCAGAATCACCATCACCAGCATCATGATCACCAGCATCATCATCATCAGCAGCATCGTCACCATCATCATCACCAGCAGCAGCATCATCAGCATCAGCATCATCATCATCAGCATCAGCATCATCAGTACCAGCATCATCATCATCATAATCGTCAACGGCATCCAGTACTCGTCCGGATCCCCTGCTCCTCATATCTCTCAGCAGCCTCGATGTCCTCCTAATCTTGTCCACGCCGCCATCATCATCAGAAACATAATCATCATCATCACCATCAGCAACGTCATTGTTGTTATCGAAATCACGACCAACATCATCATCATCATGAGGATCAGCATCGTCATCATCAGCACCAACAGCAGCAACTGCATCATTCATCATCAGCAACGCCATCAGCATCATCATCATCATCATCAGCAGTATCATCATCAGCATCATCAGCATCATCATCATCAGCATCGTCATCAGCATCAGCATCATCATCATCCTCAGCCACGTCATCATCCGCAGCATCATCATCAGCATCATCAGAGATATTATCAGCAGCAGCATCATCATCCTCATGAGCATAATCATCACCATCATCAGCACCATCATCAGCATTATCAGCAGCATCATCATCATCATCATCATCATCATCATCAGTATCGTCATCACCATCATCGCCGCCAGCATCGTCGTCGCAATCACCACCATCAGCATTATCATCATCATCAGCAGCACCATCATCAGCAGCAGCGGCATCATCATCAGCATCCTGCTCATGATCACCATCAACCTCGTATCATCAATCCCCTCGTTCTCCTCCTCATCATCGTCATCAGCATCGTCATCATCAGCAACATCATCATCATCATCATCATCATCATCATCATCATCATCATCATCATTATCATCCTCATCCTCATTGTCGTCGTCGTCCTCATCATGCTCTTTCCCATCATCTCCCTTCCCCCCTCACGCAAACTCCTCCTCCTAATTATCCTCGTCATCGTACTACTCGTTCTACCATCGTTCCCCTCCTCCTCGTCGTGTTCCTCCTCGTACTCGGTATCCTTCTCGCGTTCCTGTTACTGCTCCTCTTCGGCATTGCCGCATGTACAACTGTTGGGGCTGATGCGCAGTGTTTACATATTACTTCGCATGTTCTGATTCCCCCATTGCTAAACGCCACCGCAACACCTATTTCAGTGACAACTGCTGATGGGCACGGAAACGAGGCAGGGCAAGGAGAACAACGGCGACGGCGAAGAAGAAGACGACGAATACCAGGAGGGGGAGGGAGAAGTAAAGGAGTGGCAGGGGGGAGGAGAGGGACGGGGGACAAAGTGGAGGGAGGGATAGTAGGACGACGGACGCAGTGGAGGACGAGAAGGATGATCTCCACGGCGGAAGACGAGGAGGTGGGCGGAAGAGGGAAGGTGGAGGATCTGCTGGATCTACTGGATGCACTGCTCCAGAAGGCCCAATGATGGGCGCGCAGACCTGAAATGCCGAATGAAAGTACATTGAAGAAACAAACGACTCAGAGAAGCTCGCTGTCATACTCTGCCGCTTTTCACGGCACACGTGCAAGGGACATCCGCATCCCAAGGCCGTGGTCACGAAACGGCGCACGGGCTCCTCCCACTTCATTCATGGTCATATGGACGGTCGCAGAAGCCAGCCAGATCAAGATTCCCTACAAACGGCGGACCACTCGGCGTCCCGCCGAAGAGAATAGAGTGACAACATCGTTGATGCTGCAGTACACGTTCCCTTCCGAGCCCCTCACCCACCAACAACAACCCGAACACACGATATAATCTCCGATGCATCAAGCAATCACCAGAAAAAATGAGGGTCACGTGGTCCTGCTTGGTGAGGGCCCTGTGTACGTTTCAAGCCTACCTGACCGAGCGACTTGATTGAACTGTCCAAGGAATGTGTCGCATCGCGATGGCAATTCGACCTACTGCGTGTACCCGTACACCACGTCCAGCCTGCCGAGAAGTAATCCGAACGCCTGGTCGGTGCCCATTATGTCAAAACTGTCGTCACAGGCATCCCACTCGTCTTCTTGCAGCGACTGCAGCAGTAGGTACGCACCCTCGCTCACAACCTGGGAAGCAGCTCGCCAGGACGACGTCCCCGTCCGCACGACGAAAAGAGGCGGGCTTTGCGCGAGATGGCACGGCGACCTCACGCGGTGGTCTACGCGGACCACCAGCGTGGCACGCCACATTGGAAGCGAGGGCGCTCACGCGCGACCTTCCGCGGGCACTCTACGCGCGAATATTGGCGCCATCGGCCCCGTTTTCTTGTCGCTCATTAGGCGGCGAGCCAGGAGGGGGAAGTGAGAAGGGGCGGGCCTTCTCAGAAGGTTCGGAAGTCCACCGGACCTCTGAGTCCCGCCGCCTTCTGAGAAGGCCTTCTCCTTCTCAGTTCCCCTCGCTCGCCGCCAACGCATCTGACCTTCACGCGGTCGTGGTTGCCACTCGCGGGCCTCGCCTGGGGTCTCGTCGTCGCGGTGGGGGTCCCTGGCTTCCTCGGCCGCTCGCCGCTGCGCCTCGCCCGCTGGCGCGCACCGCTCCAGTTGCCGCTGGTATCCCGCCTGGGCCGGGCTGCAGGGCGCCAGGCTGAGGCTGACAGTCCTTGCCTTTGCAGTGCCCGTCGCTCGCGCAAGAGGGACAAAAGCGAACAGACATCCTTCTGATCGCAGCCGCGGACCTGGAGCCACGCGGCGCCGCGACCCAGTGTCGGTAAAACTCGAGGCCCCCGTCCAAGAAATAAAGAGCCAGGATGAAAGCGAGCATGGCATGAGATTGCCATCAAGGGGGGAGAGACACACAACAACAACAAACAAATTTCTCAGCTCAAGGGGGAGCCGAGCGCGCATGGGTCCGCCAGGCGGCGGGGCCTGGAAGGCCGGCGCGGGTGGGCCGGAGCCCCCGTCGATGTGAGGAAGTGAAAGTGCTAAACCGGTGGTGCTGTGAGCTGAGCGTGCTGTAAAGACGCTGTCTCTAACGTGTTCCATGTCGTACTGTCGAGTGCCAGCGTGAGCCGTCGTGGGTCACTTCGTTCGAAAAGCACTTGTTACGTCGAGAAACCGCACGATTTCTCCCACCTTTCTGGCAGCCTTCCTGCCTATGAAGCGCACGCCAGCGGTGGTGGATGTCCCGCCCCCATGACGCAGCGAACCGTGCCCACCTGTCGTACGGTAGCGCGGCTACTCGTCCGGCCCACCGCCATTTGCGTTTGAACTATATCGTCGTCCATTCGTCCATGTCAGCACGCGACGCACTGTCTGATGCCATGTGCGTAGCTATGCGTATGAATTGTTCTTACGGTTCCAAGTCGTCGTCGTCGTCATGGTCGTCGCCACCATCGAGATCTGGCCGCTGTTTCCTGTCCTCCGAATTGGTGTCGGATTTGCTTCCGTCGTCGGAGTGAGGCTCGTCGTCGGAGCTGTGGACGTTTCTGGTTACGGTGCTCTTGTGTCCCGCTTGATGCCTCGGGGTGTTCACGATGATAAGTTGTAGCATCCGTCGTTGGGTGCGTCGTAATGTTTGGAGCATGGCTTGGGTGAGCACCCAGGAAGTGCAACCGTACATAACTGCTGGCATTAGCAACCAACCGAAGCCTGATTTTAAGGGGATACCTCTTGCTTGTGGGTTTGTCGCGAAGCTGGTTGAAACGGCGCCATCCAGATGCGAGTCGGTTGGAGGTCTCTGTCTGGTAGAAATCGTGAATGTAGGGCTTGCGGCCAAGAAACTTAGTGGTCTGGTCTGCATTGAGAACTTCAATGATTTTGCCACCTAGGTCAGTAGGCGTGATGGTCCATCCCTGTCGCCTGCTGGCGTTGGTGAAAATTATGACCTTGTCAGGAAGTAGAGCAAGTCCGCACTCATATGCTTCTTAAAATGGCTTTCCATTGGAGGAAAAGTACGTCGTCGGCAAAACGCACATTGACGAGTAGCGTAAACCTAGAATATCCCGCCTGTATAAACAAACCCCCATGCGTTCAAAAGAAGGTTCGACCAGACGGAAAACGAAGTATTCGAGCACAGATCAAGGGGGCGTGTAGCCAAAAGAGCAGCGGGCGCACGTACACATGAACACTGTACCATACAACAACTCCATGCACAAGCGTGCTACGTTTCTGAACGCGCAATGCTGTCGGTCTTTGTACCCATTCTTTCCGTACCCCTTTCGATCGTCCCGATACAATTGACCATTGTCAGTGCCATTGACAGCGGGGAGCCCGGCCAGGAAGCAGACCAGCTCGCCCGTGAAGCCCCAGAAGAGGAACCCCGCCGTCCTGCGGGGCGCCCAGAGGGGGGGTTGTGGGCAGGGCAGCTAGGAGGACTCCCCGTCCATCTTGTCCCTCGCCTCCTCATCCTCCTCCTTATCCTCCGCCGCATTCTCTCGATCAGGCTCTTTCCGCACCCTCACTCTCTCCCTCCCTCCTCCCTTCTCCTCCTCCTCCTCCTCCTCCTCCTCCTTCTCCTCCTCCATTCCTTTTCAATTATGAATAACTCCTCACTGTCGCACCCCGAGGCTGGTCGAAAAGGCGTGCCGGGCATTTCGCCTGAGATTTCCTCATCGTTTATGATCCTGAAGCTTGCAACATGTTACAGCTTCACAGATGGAGGGCGGGTGGTTTTAGAAATGTGGCTCTCGCCTTAGCGCCGCGCACATTCGTCTTAAAAGTGTGCATCAGTTTCACGGATGGAGGGCGGGTGGTTTTCGAAGTATGGCTTTACCCTGAGCGCCGCGCACATTCGTCCTAAAAATTTGCAAGAATTTCACGGGTGGAGGGCGGTTCTTTTTCAAAATGTGGCTCTCGCTGTAGCGCCGCGCACCTTCGTGTCAAAAGTGTGAGACGGCTTCACGGATGGAGGGCGGTACCTTTTCACAATGTGGCTCTCGCCTTAGCGCCGCGCATATTCGATTTTGGAGTTTACAACAAAGATTCTCATGGTTTACATTCAAGAAATGGTGTTTGGGCACGATGCCAGAACTAGCAGGGCGCAACAGTTACGTAAATTCGTGGTGTTGAACTCCCAGGAATGGCTATCTGAAACGATTCAGGATCGCCAAGACGCGACGGTAACGGTGATTCGAGGAGTCGAGGTCCTAGGAACGGTATTCGGGCACAGCTCAAGATTGTCAAACGGCTGTCTTCCAACGGGGCACTTCCCTCTGTGGGAATGAACCTTTGTAGGGACCTATGAAGAGGGAACTTCGAGGCAGTCTTTATTGCAATATCGTTGATGAGCTTGGGTTCACACTTGTCTTCCTCCTCCTCCTCCTCCACCTCCGCGTCCTGCCTCCATCATTCCTCCTTCCCGGCTCCACCCTCTCCGCAAAGTATCCACCTCATCCTCCTTATCCTCCTCCTCCTCCTCCTCCTCTTCCTCCTCCTCTTCCTCCTCATCATCAGAATCAGAATCAGAATCATCGTACTGAAGAAGAAGAAGAAGAACAATCTCATCAGCAGCAGCGGGGGGGGGAACATACTCATCAACAGCATCACAATTATGATCATAATCATCATCATTGTCGTCGTCATCATCATGATCAGCAGCATCATCCTCATCAGTACAATCATCATCATCATCATCATCATCATCATCATCATCATCATCATCATCATCATCATCATCATCATCATCATCATAGTCCATCGTCATCACTATGGCCATCACCATCACCAGCATCAGCAGCATCATATCCGTCAGCATCATTAGCAGCAGCAGCATCATCATAAGCAGCAGCATCAGTATCATCATCAGCAGCATCATCATCGACACCATCACCAGAATCACACTCAGAATCACCAGCTGCATCATCATCATCGTTATCATCATCACCACCATATCAGCATCATGATCATCATCATGGTCATAGTCGTCACAAGCAGTGAAATCAAAATAGTCATCGGCATCATGGTAAGACGGTCCCTCGCTTACCCACCAGAGTTTCATCCCCCTCGTTATCATTCCCCTTTTCATCACACGCGTCACCCTCAGCATTAGCATCATTATTAACAGCAAGAACAACAACGACGACAACAACAACAACATCAACAACAATCAGTTTAAGACAATTCGCCCTTATATGCTCGAGTGTCCAATAACGCGTAGTTCCCAAACCCTCGATACCCGCCCTCTTCGTCTTCGATCGAACCCTTTTGGGGGGTGTACCTTTCTTCCCTGCGGGCCGGGCCCCGGCAAGCGGCGGGGCGGCCGCGGACGGTCGGCCTGGCCAGCGGCAGCGCTGATCGGCGGGGCGGCCGCGGACCGTCGACCCGACCCCAAGAGGGACGGACAGGGGACCGACCACGACGACGACGACGACGACGACGACGACGACGACGACGACGACGACGGCGACGACGACGACGACGACGAAGGCGACGACGACGACGAGCGAAAGCGAGAGCGAAAGAGAACGACAGCAGGGCCACAAGGACACGAAGTAGGCCACGAAGGGAGACAGCGGGGACACGAAGGGAATGCGTATGGGGCCACGAAAAGCGCGAACGAGCTGGGGCCACGAAGGGCAGATAATGCGGGGCCACAGAAGGCAACGATGGCGCCACTGAGGGTAGCAACTGGGCCACGTAGGACAATGAGGGGGCCACAAACTGCGACAGCAAGGCCACGAAGGGCATGCACATGGGGCCACAACTGGCGCGAACGAGCGGGGGCCACGAAGGGCATACGTATACTGGGCCGCGGAGGGCAAGGACGGGGCTACTGAAGGCAGCAACGGGGCCACGCAGGGCAGCAAGGGGGCCACGAAGGGCGACAGCGGGGCCACGAAGGGCATGCATATGGGGCCACCACGGGCGCGAACGAGCAGGGGCCACGAAGGGCATACATATATGGGGCCAGGAAGGGCAGCGAGGTGCCACGAAGGGACGCAACGGGGCCACGAAGGGCAGCGAGGGGGCCACGAAGTGCTGCAACGGGGCCACGATGGGCTGCGACTGGGCCACGAAGGGCAGCGAGGGGGCCACGAAGGGCTGCAACGGGGCCACGAAGGGCAGCGAGGGGGCCACGAAGGGCTGCAACGGGGCCACGAGGGGCAGCGAGGAGGCCACGAGGGGCTGCAACGGGGCCACGAAACAAAGCGAGGGAGCCACGAAGGGCTGCAACGTGGCCACGACACAAAGCGAAGGGCCACGAAGGGCTGCAAATGGGCCACGAAGGGCAGCGAGATCCCCATTCCTATGTAATCTGTGAGGGAGTCCTAAACGTGAGCGCGACTCCTGGGTGCCTGGGTGCCGGAAGCGCGGCGCCTGAGTAAATTGCAAGGAATTCCAACGCAAGGGCGCTATTCTTTAGTAAATTGCAAGCAAGTCTCCAGCGAGAGCGCGACTCCAGAGCGCCGGGAGAGCGATTCCCGAATCAATTGCAAAAAAGTCCCCACCGAGAGCGCGATTCCTGAATAAAATGCGAGGAAGTCTCGGGCGGGAGCGGGGGTCCTGGCTAAATTGTGAGGAAGTCTCAGTCTCAAGCGGGAGCCGTTGTTGCTGTAACCCGGGGGCCAAGGGCCCAATTTGAGCCTCAAGACTTCCCTGATAAAAATCTGGGTGCGAGCGTCGAGGGGCACACTTTGATTGAGAAAAACAATATGCACCCGGGAAGGAGGGATCAACAATAACAATTCTTCAGACATGAAAGTTCAAGGTTGACACGTGCTCTTGTTGCCCGTTCACCAAGCAACTTGGTCAATCCTTAAAGGACATCCCGTGACCTTGCTGTTGTTGTTGTTGTTGTTTGACACGTGGCCTTGTTGCCCAGCCCCCCCCCGCAACCAGCAACCAACAACCTCGAGTTCCATTCCTCGCTCCGCTGTAACTTCGCCTGCTTAAGGGTCTGAGCTCCTCCACTATGCAATGCTACCATGTCTGCACCAGCGAAGCTCCAGAAATTGTCGTCTCCGATGTGATCATATAAAAACCTATAGAAATCCGATCGAGATCCTGTAAGGATCCTATAGGGATCCTATGCGATCCTATAGGTTCCTATAAGGATCCTCCAGGATCCCATGGGGACTCCTATGGGGATCCCATGCTCTCCTGTAGGATCATGTACGAATCGTATGAGGATTGCATAGAAATACCATGCGACCCTGTAGGCTCCATTGGAAATCTACAGGGATTGTATAGGATCCCCATGCGATGCAAAAGGATCCGATAAGAATCCAATAAGGATTGCTCAGGAGCCCCATGCGATCCTATAGGATCCTCTAGGATCCTATAAGGATCCTACGCGATCTTTTTTTATATATATATATTATATATATATATATATATATATATATATATATATATCTGTATATATATCTGTATATATATATATATATATTAAAAACAAAAAATGGATCCTATAAAAATCCTACGGGAATTCTATCGGGATCCCATGCAACCCTGTACGATCCGGTCGGGATCGTATAAAGATCGTATAGGAATCCCATGCGACCTTGTCGGGTCCTATAGGGATCCTACAAGAATCCGATAAGGATTGTCTAGAGTCCCATGCGATCCAAAAGGGTCCGATAGGAATCGTACACAACATAGGGATTGTATAGAAATCCCATGTGATCGTGTAGGATCCTTTACGAATCGTATAGGGATCCTATGGGATGCGCATGGAATTGTATAGGAACCCCATGCGATCGTGCAGGATCCTATACGCATCGTACAAGGATTGTATAGAAAACCCGTTCGGCCCTGTAGGCTCCTATACGAATAGTACGGGGATTGTGTAGGAATATCATGCGATCCTATGGGGCCCTATGAAATGCGATAGGTTCGTACAGGAATCCGACGCGATCCTATAGGACCACTACGAATCGTATAGGGGTCCGATGAGGATCCTACAGGGATTGTATAGGAATCCCGTGCGACCCTATAGGATCCTATAGAAATCGTATGCGGATTGCAGGGGCATCCCATGCGATCCTATATGACCCTATGGGGATCCTATGCGATCATATAGGGTCCTAACAGGGATCGTGTGGGAATTCTGTAGGGATCCCATGCGACCTTATAGGATCCGATCGGAATCGTTCAGGGACTGTATAGGAAGCCCATGCGACCCTGCCGGATCCTGTAAGAATTACATAGGGATTGTATAGGAATCCCATGCGATCCTATGGGATCATATATCCTACACGGATCGTATAGGAATCCCACGCGATCCTAGAGGGTCCTATAAGGATCTGATAGGGCTCGTATAGGAGTCCCATGCGATCCTACAGGATCCTATAGGGAGCGCATAGGGATTGTATAGGCATCCCGTGCGA